ATTATAGGATCTGAATGATTAAGCTTACTTGGCAGAATCTATTACATATGAAACACACTTTGGGGCGTGGTGGAGGTTATAAGAAACATTTGGCAGAATCCCTGTCCTTGAGGAGTTTATGGTCTTTCTGAAGAGAAATATCTAAGACATATTTATCACTTGGAGAACAAGCTTTATCTAGTATGCAGAGTCTCCAAAAGACATTACACATAAGGGGCAGCTAGATGGCACAGTGGATAGAGCTCTGGCCTTGGAGTCAGGAGGACCTGAGTTCAAATCTTACTAGCTGTGCGACCCTGGGCAAGTCACTTAACCCCGATTGCCTCACCAAAAAAAAAAAAAGACAATACATATGTTATTCATTTGAACCTCACAACTTCCCTGGGAGGCATATGTTATTATTACCCCCATTTTACAAATGAGGAAAATGAGGCAGGGAGGGATTATGACTTGTTCCGAGTCACACAGGTAGTATCTGAGGCAGGTTTCAAAATCAGATCTTCCCATGTCCAAATTCAATATCCCCTCCATGGTTCCACTTAACTACCTAACTTTCCCCAATCTGGTACTTATTACACTGTCCTGGATTATCCTCCTAATACACCAGTAACTCAATCCAAATAAACATTAGCTCTCTGACCACATCCTTCATCACCCCTGGGTCATGGTTTCTAGATTTGTGATAACAAAAAATATTATTTTAGTATTATATTAATAATCAATTCTCTCTTTTTGCTTGCTCATTCATAGCCCAGGCAGTATCTCAAGGACATTACTGACCTTGCCCCAAAATTTACCCCACCTAAACCATCTTATCTAGATGAAATTCTTATTGTAACCCAACCACAGTTTAACTCAGGTAGGACTGGGTGGAGAACAGATTCTTTTGTAAAGATTGCCGGAGGCAGAATAATCTGAGAAAGGGCTGACATGATCAAAATCATGTCTCCCAACTCTTCATTAGAAAAAGTCCACCTTAATTATAATATTCATTCTCTCATTGTTAACCAATCAGAGATGATTTTCACCCTCAGGGATACCCAGTTTTCCAGAAGTATTTAAACATTTAGAGACCTCCTTGCAAGGTCTTTGGTTACAAGAGAGACCATTGACCTCAATTTATTGATTATTTGATAACATAATTAATAGATTGACTGATAATTACACAGAAACTCTGTCTCTCAGACTTTTCCATCATTTCAGAGATTACATCTTGCTGCCCCTTAGATATGTCAGGGATATAACTGATTACTGTAAACATCTGCCTCCCATGCACAGTTGTTTGCCTTTCACTAATATTCTCCCACTCTAATGTAAAGAATATTTCTAGCCTTATTGCAAATTATTCATCTTCTTGACTCTACACAATAACCAACATGGATAATTTCTTATATATGGAATGTGATCCTTGACCTTCTTCATCTATTGAATGTCAATTAATTCTTACCCATCCTTAAAGTCTAAAATCAAATGCCATCTCATCTAGAAAGTCTTCCCTGATTCTCCAAGCCATTAAGGACTGTCTCAGTAAGACCTCCACAGCACTTCATGTTTTTCTTCCCTAGGGTACTTGTCATGTATTACCCATGCACTCTAGTTTATGTCTTGTGTCATCCCTTAGCCTTGCCTGACTGTGACCTCCATGAGGTCAGGGACCCAGGCTGTTACAAACTTTGTATCTCCTCCTATTACCTAGTATAGTACACTGAATATAATAGTTGCTTACTAAAAATTTGCTTAATTGAATATTTATATATCTTTAATTTTTTTTAAATTATCACTGCCTAATGCTTCCCACACAATACAGAAATATGCTCCTACAAAAATTATGATTCAAATAACATAGTATGTTTCTGTAATGTGTGTTTTTTTAGTGAAACAATCTGTGCTGTACCAAAAAAAATTGTCAGTGTTGGTTTCAGAAATAAGAGACTCAAAAGTCACAAAGAAAATGACAATTTTTTAAAAGTAGATTTTGGATGTTATATCTGATGATAGAGACTGAACTGTGATTTTAGTGATCCAGGAAGCTCCTAGATGAGGAACAGTCCTCAATCAGTTCCAATTAATGCTTTTAATCTCTGCCATTTTTATTCTTAGTGAGTTGCCTAGAGCACTAAAACATGAAGTGATTTGCATGTCTGTATTTTGTGTCAGTGGCTTGGAGCCTAGCTCTCTGCCCACTCTGCTATGCCTCCTTTCATCTAATGAGAACACATTCCCAATCAATGAGGTCAAATGAATGAGGCTTTTTGCTAGCCTTTTAACTGAGCAACATGGAATTATAAAATATTAGAGATAAAAATGACCTTGAGATCACATAGTCAAACTCCTATATTTTATATTTGAGAACACTGAACTCCAGCAAACCAAAGTGACTCGTTCAAATCAAACTTGTTTAATTGGTGTTTAAGAATTCGTTGCCTCAAGGTGAAGACCAGAGGATCTCTCCCATTAATAAGTTACATGGTATTGTTCAATCTATGTTTTGCAGCTGAAATTCTGTTTAACTCAAGAAACATTTATTAAGCATCTATGGTGTGCCAAGGACTGTACTAACCTCTTAAGATACAAATACAAAACTGTCTTCCCTCAAGGAACTTACATTCTTCTGGATGGTTACAACAAGTGCATGGCCAAGTAAAATTATGTACACAGAGTCACTTCCGGGATTATGAAGAACACCAATAAGTGGAGGAATGAGAAAAGGCCTTGTTAGAAAGGTGGGCCCTTAGCTGAACCTTGAAGGAATTATGAGTGGAAGAGGTGAAGAGGGAGAGCATTCTAGGCATGAGAAACAGCTTGTATAAAGGAATGGAGATGGGATCTGGAATATTAGATAGGGGGAACAAGTCACTTTGGCTAGAGAATGTACATGAGCAGGAAATAATGTGAAATATTTGGAAAGAGAGCTTGGATCCCAGGTGACGAAGAGATTGAAATGCCAAACAAAGCTAGGGAAAGGGGAGTGATAGATTTGTGCTTTAGAAATGTCAGTTCAGCAACTATGTGGAAGACAGGTTAGATAGAGGAGGGATACTTTGAGTCTTCAAGATAAGTGACTACCAGATAGGTGAATTTTTACTGAAAAAGTTGGGCTTAGATAAAGAGGCCCTGAATTCAAACTCATCTCTGCCTCAAACTAAATGTATAACTTTGGGTTCTGAGCCTGTTTTCTCATCTGTGAAATGGGAACAATAACAACAATAATCATAATATAACCAATCTCACAAGGTATTGTGAGAAAAGTACTCTGTAACCTAGAAAGCCCTGTAGAAATCTGGGCCACTGCTATTATATATCTCAGACAATAGACTATAGACTGGCCTTGTTGTCTGTGTTAAAGAAACCTTCCCTCATCACTTCTGTGAAATCTAAAAGTCCATCAGGTCTCTGCTACCTGTGTGGTGCTTAGTTGCATACTACCTTGTGATTTTTATTTTATTTTTATTTCTATTCAATCCTTATATTGTTCAGTTACTGTTTGTGTATCTTGTTCATGAACACATAAAAATTTAGCCTCTATATTCTGGTGGCTATTTGCAATCCATATTGGGTAGAGGAGCTCAGGTGGGGCTATAGCTTGAGAGTAGTGAACCCACCAATATCTCTTAGAGAGCAAATACAGCTGTGTGCCTTCTTCCTACTCTATGGGTGAATTAAAAACAGAATGCAAGAGGCTGAATAGCAAATTAAGTCCCTGGGAAATTTGCAGTGATTTATAGTTACTGTGATCTGGGATGAGCAACAAAACATTGAATCTGAAAAAAGAATTTTCTCCATTTGCCACAGGAAGTTGTTTTCAGGGGTATACGTGTTTTTATTCCTGACCTGGTATCTTCCTGGCCCTGCCCTCCCCTTTCCTTAAATTCTCTTCAGTTGGGGGGGCCCCCCCCCCCCCCCCCCCCCGCCATCTTCATTGTTCTCTAGGCCAATGACTGACTCTAAATGGTGATAGACAAGCCTGAATGATCTTTCCTATATCATACTTATCCTGAAGCATATCTTCACTATACCATATGGAACCTACTAGTGAATTCTTCTCTCTCCAACAAGATGGTAATCAGTCAATCTAATCATCCATCAATAATAATAATGATAATGACTATGATTTAAATAGTGCATTAAGGTTAACAAAGCATTTTCCATACATGTATGTGTATATGATTATGCATATATATATGTGTGTGTATATGATTATGTATCTGTGTGTGTGTGTGTGTGTGTGTGTGTATGTATACATGCAGCTAGGTGGCACAATGGATAGAGCACTGGGCTTGGAATCAGGAAGACTTTTCTTTCTGAGTTCAAATCCAGCCTCAGACATTTACTAGCTGTGTGATCCTGGACAAATAACTTAATCCTATTCACTTCAGTTTCCTCATCTGTAAAATGAAGTGGAGAAAAAAATGACAAACCACTCCCACTCCAGTATCTTTGCCAAGAAAACCTTAAATGGGTCATGAAGAGTCAGACACAGCTGAAATGACTAAACGACAACAAATTATACACACACACACATATATACATATGTAATTTTATGTATACACATATACATATATATGTATTATCTCATTTGATCTTTATAACAAACCTGTCAGTAAGTGCTATGATTATCCTCATTTTACAGATAAGAAAACAATGGTTGAGAGGAATGACTTGCCCTAGTCACACAGCAAGCATCTGAGGTGATGTTTGAACTCAGATCTTCCCAACCCCAGGTCTAGCACTCTATATAGTACAGCATCTAGCTGTCTCATTTTAAGTACTTACTATTTGCCAAGCACTCTGCAAACATTTATGAATAAATAAACAAAAAACCCAAAAGGAAAACAATCCCTGACCTCAATATTTTAAATTATATGAAGATAAGGAGTAGGCAGCATTCTCCTTTATATGGAAGTATCTAGCACTATGCTGAGCACCCAGTAAAGCCTCAGTAAATGCAGTGGACAAATGGCAATTTAAGATTTGCTTTCTTTTGTTGTCTTTATTCACAGGGTTGTTCGGGTGTATCCACCTCAGATCCACAGACGGTCCTTTTCTTTTTTTGTGGACCTTCTTCAGGCCAGCTTAATGATGATCATCTGTTCCCTTTTGACCAACTCATCTTTTCAAGAGCAACTCCAGAGCTGCAAATTAAAGAGTCATTTCCTTTCTTGGAGAAGTCCATAATTCCTTTGTTAATGCCCATGGTTGTCCCTCCTGCTCCTGGAAGTCTTACTGTTCTAGAAGATTCTTTCCAAGAAGAACTTCCTCAGAGCCGTGTGACTCATGGGCTCCAATCCATGCATGTCCCCCAAGTCCCTATGGAGCCATGTTGGAATACTAATGAGACCCAAAACAGTATTGATAATCCACAATCTCTTTTGAGAAATGGTATTTCTGGAAAAGACACAGGAATGCCTTCAAAGACTCTTAGCCAAAGAGTAGGAGCTATAGAACTTGAATTAGAAGAAAAGCAAGAAAAATGGTTAAAAACCCAGGATATACTTCCACAAAATGGAACAAACAAAAAGGAAATCTTGGAGTGGGACTTCAGTGATGTAAGTGTTCTAGCTAATGAGGCAAAATGTTCAAAACATGTGGAAGAAGAGAAAGAAAAATATCAGTTCCAGAAACCCAACTGCTGTCCTGATCGAAGGCAGAAAAGTCAAATTTCAGTGGCACAGCATGAGGCAGAAACTCAAGGGGAAAGACTGGATCTCCTGGAAGGAGTGATGAAAGGAAAGTCAAATGTTTGGGCTTTCCAAAAGCAAATTCAGGAAAAGAGCCAAGAAGATAGTTCACCAGATGAGTGTGGGAATCTCACATTAGTAGCTAGAAGGAACCAAGGATATTTGCCAAAGGATGCCAATGTACTTGAAGAGAAAGTAACAGGACTTAGGAAAGACTCTAATCCAAATGAAGAAAAACAAATAGGGCTCCAAAATATTGATGCCTGGGAAGAAAAAGATAAGTTGTTTGAAGTAGAAAAGAAGAAAGGAATATACTGTCATGAAATACTAGATCTAGGAAATGATGGTTATGGCCAATGCATCCAGAAAAGACATGCTTTTGAAAAAGAAAAGGACAAGTTTTTCTCAGAGAAACAGACATGTTCTCAATTCAATAGAGAATCACCATTGCAGGATGAATCTTGTGAAAATGAAATATTGGCTACCGATATAGGGAGCAGCAGATATTTTCTCAAAATTAATGAGCTAGAGAAAGAGGTGGTGAAGCATTTCCAGGAAATCTTTGCTTTGGAGGAAGAAAATGAGAATTATCGACAGAAAATGAAGCAATTAGAAGAAGAAAACTGGAGGTACTCCCAACAGTTGCAATCCTTAGAGGTGGAGGTGGACGTTGATACTCATACCGCCTCAGCAGATGCAGATGATGGAACAGATGTTGATTCTTCAGAAATATTAGAAGGAAAATCTGAGAAGGATGTTGTTGAGAGTATTAAACTTAAAAAGGGCAGGGACATTAGAACAATATTTTCTGCAGGGAAGAAAAATGAAACTCATTCTAAGAAATTGCCTGATTTGAATGAAGTGATTCTAAATTCTCAATTGGCCATGTTTTTGAACAGATTTCCCCTAAAAACTGAAGCACACGAAAGCATGAATAGGTTTTTCCAACTAATTTCTGATATACAGACAGAGCAAAACCAAGTTTTCCTTGAAATAACCAAATTACACAGAGATCACAAAATATGCAATAATAAAACATATGCTTTAGAAAAAGAAAAAGAGAGAAATCTGAAAAGGATAGCTGAGCTTGAACAAGATAAGGTCAATTTGCTAGAAAACTTAACTCAGCTAAGAAGTGAACTAGACCAATACTTGCAGCTAATTTCAGACCTTGAAGACTGCAATGGGAAAAGTTATGATAAAATTTCTGACCTGCAAGATGAAAATATGACCCTGAAGAAGAAGGTGGACAATATTCAGAAAGCAATGGCAGAAAACATTAGGGAAGCACAGGAAGTGACTGAGAAGGTTACACAAGAAAACCAAGAGCTGAAGACCTTGATAGCTGACCTTAGCATTGGTTACAAAGATGTAATAAAAGATCTAGTGCCAGGAATACAAGACATGATGCAAAGCCTGAAGGAAGAAAATGAACAGCTTCTCCACAAAATACATATTATGGAAGGGAAGGCCACATGTGAAACAAAGGATATCAAACAAATAGCCAAAGAGAATGAGCATCTAAAGGGACAAATCCAGAAGCTATTGGACAAAGCAAATGTGGTAGATCAAGGAATTCAGGTAACTGACCCCTCAGGCCAACCAACAAGAGATGAAGGATTGTCTTTGGAGGAAGCATCTGTTTTTGATAAAGGACGAAAGCAACACCCCATTTACAATGAAATGTATCAGTTCCACATGGGCTATAAAAGACTGAAACCATTTTTAGTGAAGGAGAACCCTGAGGTTTCCACTGTCACCCAAGATCCCTCTAATGGGTCAGAAGATAAAAGGGTAGATTTTGAAAAAAAGAAAAAAAAGGAGAGTTTGTCTGAATTCCACAATCGAACACATGAATCACTAGCCAGTTCTTCCCGGGTAAGTGGACTTTGAAGTATATCACACTATCACTGAACTAGAGAACTTTAGAGCTGCTTGTGACCTCAAAGATCTTTCAAATCTAACTCCTCTTTAAAGGGTAGCCATGGGGCAGCTAAGTGGCACAATGGATAAAATACCTGCCTTGGAGCCAGGAGGACCTGAGTTCAAATCCAGCCTTTGACACTTAACTAGTTGTATGACCCTGAGCAAGTCATTTAACCCCAATTGCCTCCAAAAAATACAGTACCAACGCAGCCAGCACATAAAGTCCCTCAAAACAGGGAAGTCACTCATTTTCAAGGCAGCCCGTTTCATTGCTGGACAATCTTAATTGCTAAGAAGTATTTCTTTATGTTAGGCCAAATGCTGTCTCCATGAAACCTGCACACATGTTTCCTAGTTCTTCCCTCTGATGACATAATCATAACTAGCATTTGTATAGTGCTTTAATGTTTGCCCAGGGTTATGAAATCCTTGCAAATTATTATCTTAAATGTGTGAAGGAAGGGGGCAGCTAAGTGGTGCAGTGGATAGAGCACCGGCCCTGAAATCAGGAGGACTTGAGTTCAAATTCGGCCTCAGACCAAACACTTGACACATACTAGCTGTGTGACCTTGGGCAAGTCACTTAACCCCGATTGCCTCACTAAAAAAAAAAAAAGTGTGAAGAGGAGGACTGAGCTAGCAGTCAAAAGCCCTGAGCTTCTGCCCTATCTTTCCAATTTCCTAGCTGTATGACCTTGGGTAAGTCCCCTCTTTGGGCCACTATTTCCTTGTATATTAAATGAAGGTTAAATGGTCTCTAAAGTCTGTTTTGAGACCTAATATTCTATAGTTCTATAGTCAATATAATGCCGTGGGGAAAGCACTGGGTTTGGAGTCGGAGTGGAGACTTGCATGCTGGCTCTGCTGTAAAAAATGAACTTTAGAGGTACGGCATTGGGTGGCAACAGATACTCGAGAGTTCATGTGAACAAGATTGGGGAATTTTAACTAATCTCAAGTTAAAATTTTCCAGTATTCTTGTGTATTTTTATTTATAAGAAGCTTTAATTTAGAAAAGCATGAAAAATCTCTTGCCATGCAGTTTCTCCTTTGCAAGAGATTTTCAGTCTGGCACTGGGCAGATTTCTGCATACAGCAAAGCCACCATTGCTAAAAACAACCTAAAAGTGCTTATGTTGCCTTCTCTTCGTCTTATCATTGGCAGCAAATGCTCATCCTTTAAGCCTGAGTTTCAGAACAGAATTTCCTTCTGACTTGGAATATCTTAGAATTGGATACGCCATTGAACTTATATAGACGCTAAAGTGTCTCTTCCTTCTCACTTATCCCCTTTGTTCAGTAATGCTGTTCAATAATGCCTTAACAACACTGTTATCTCTCTCTTCTAAGTTCCCCTCTTCCCACTTACCTAGCCACCAGCCTGGTATGGGCTTTCATGAAGCTTCACCTGTACTTCTAATTCATCTCCTTACCTTAGGATTCTTCCCAGTCTATTTCATCCTCTACTCCACTGCCAAAGTGATCTTCCTCAAATATAGATAAAATCAGGCCAACCCCTCCACCTCACCTCACTATACTCCAATGGCTTCCTGTCATCTTTAGGGTCAAATATAAAATCCTCTGTTTGGCTTTTAAAGTCCTTCACAACCTGGTCCCATGCTACCCTTCCAGTCGTTTTACACATTATTCCCCTCCACACACTCTGGGATCTCCTACATTGGCTTATTTGCTATGTCTAATACATAACATTCCATCTTCCAACTCCTTCAATTTGCACAGACTATCTCTCTCTCCCCCTCCATACCTTTAATCACCCACTCCTAACTTCCCTGACTGCCTTCAAATTTCAGCTCAAATCCTACCTTCTGCAGGAAGCCTTTTTTCTATTCTCTCTTCCCTCTCCTCCAAACCCTTCCCTCGGAGATTATTTTCAATTTACACTGTTATATATGTATGTATGTATGTGTATGTATATATATATATATATACACATCTTGTATATGCATAGTTATTTTCATTTTGAAAGAGTATTTTGAGAGCAATTACGTCTTGCATTTCTTTGTATTCACAAAACTTACCAATTAATTTCTGATATACAGACAGCATAAAACCAAGTTTTCCTTGAAATTATACAGAACTCAAGAAATATGTAATAATAAAACATATGTTTTAAAAGAAGAAAAAGAGAGAAATCTGAAAAGGATAGCTGAGCTTGAAAAAGATAAGGTTAGTTTGCCAAGAATCTGCTTAATCAGTGCATATTAACTGTCCTAAGAAGGCATTTGGGACTGAAACTCCCCTCCCCCTTCCCAGCTAGTGACTCTTGGTATCTTCAATCAGTGGATGATAACGTACCAGGCTTGCTGAACCCCACTGAATAGAGACAATTTTGATTTAGAGAGTGAGATTTAATAAGGCCTCACACAGCATTTGATTTTCACCTTTCTAATTTATATTATTTAATATTATGTGTTGGTACTTTATTCCTATATTTTTAAACTGTAAGCTCTAGGAGGGGCAAGGACTGTGCTTTATCTAAAGCTGTTTGAGGGCAGCAACTTTTTCATTTTTGTCTGCATCTCCAGTGCCTAGCACATTTCCTGGTACCTAGTAGGCACCAAATAAATGCTTATTGATTGAGCAGTTAAACTTTAGTCCTTCCCCGAGCACCTAGTCCAATATCCTTGCTCCCAGTAGCTATTTAATGAAATTTTCTAAATTAATAATTGAATGAATGAGGTATATGGATAAATTATGGGGTAAATTTCTAGCCTAGAAAAAATGCAATTCCATCATGCTGATTTTGGATTATTTAATTAGATTATATATTTGGATTATTATAGTTTGATGATACTGTTCTTAACAAACACCCTAAAAAAAGTCAGTGTGATATCATGGATATAGAGCTATTCTTGGATTAAAGAAGATCTGAATTTAAATCTTAACTATAACTAATTGTGTAATCATAGATAAGGTCACAATCTCCAAGTGCCCTGTGTTACTTTCAGAGATAAATTATAAAAGAGGTGTTGATTTAAATTGGTGGAGAGTGTTTCCACCCTGGGAGTTTTCCATACAAATGAAATTGTGTCTGGATTCACCCCCCCCAAGATACAAACATATTATAAGCATACCTGCAAAAAGAATAAAATTAGATTTCTCATCTATAAATAACCAAGGGCCAATTGAACCATGTTTTCCTCATCTTATACATGTACATCCTACTAGTATTCAGAAGTTAAAATGACAGAAAAAAAGATATCAGTTTATACATATGCAAATGTCCTTTTGCCTAAAGTCTGGATATAGTCTGTCTTATTTGATTAAAGTCTGAGCATTTCTGAAAAGGCCCGTAGGATTTAGAGGCAGAAAGTAAGCAGTAGAATCTAGACATGAAACTAGGTCCTCTGACCCCAAGTTCAGGGATCTTTCCACTTGACTCCACTTAGGAATGGCAGGGTTGACTCATTTCATTTCAAGTCTTTATTTCTTCATATGTTTTTGACAAGGTGGCCCATGTATTATCCCATTTACCATCTTCCTCTGGTTTCCTCTTCTCTGAAATAACAGTGACAGGTAATCTGTTGTGGCAAAATCAATGGACATGGAATCAGGACACCCAAATTTGAACCCTGGTTTGTGACCTTTGGCAAGTCACTGCACTTATCTGGGTTTCATTTTCTTTTTCCATGAACTAGTAGGGCAGCTAGGTGGTCCATTGTATAGAGTATCAGGCCTAGAGTCAGGAAGACTCATCTTTCTGAGTTCAAATCTGGCCTCAGACACTTACTAGCTATGTGACCTTGGGCAAGTCACTTGACCCTGTTGGCCTCAGTTTCCTCATCTGTAAAATGAGCTGGAGAAGGAAATAACAAACCACTCCAGTATCTTCACCACAAAAACCCCAAAGGGGGTCACTAAGAGTCAGACGTGACTTAACAATATTGAACAACAACAACAACAACAAATCTATAAAATAAGGTTGGACTAGATCATCTTTAAACTCTTGTGTAGCTCTAATATTTGACAGTTCTATACTCAAAGTTTTTCTAACTTGGCAGGAGCTTTCAAGAACCTAGAGTCAGTCTCAGGTCCTGGAGGAGGGAACAAATTGTATTTCCTCATCTGTAAAATTATAATAATACTTTTATTCCTATCTCATAGGGTTCTTTTGAGGAAAACATTTTGTAAAGCTTAATGCATCCTACAGACATTAAATGTTATCATTATCGTATATAAGACACTTGTAATAAAACTTCTCCACATTTGACTAACCAAAAAAAAAAAAATTAAAGATAAGAGAAGTGAAGGGCAACCTTCACTAAATGGTCAGAGCTCAGGCTTGAACCCATGTCCCTCTAAACCAAAAAGATGTCATTAATGGTTTAATGTCAACTCACAAAGATTCAAATCCCACCTCTGACACTTAATACTTGTGTGACATTGGGCATAACCTAAACATCCTGGTATCTATAAAATGAGGAGTGTGGGCGAGATGACCTGTGAGCCTCCTTCTAGGTCCAAATCTGTGAGTCAGTGATATAGAAGGGATATTTGTGCTCAAGCCCAAGTTGGACCAGATGGCCCTTAAAGTCCCTTCCAACTCCACAATTCAATAATTCTGAAAAAAAAATAATTCTACACTGTCCCCAGTGTCCCGTATTTTTTCTGCTACATTACAGCAGCCTCTCTGTCAAAGTTCTGCTAGCTTCCCACTCTAAAATGGGGGCAGCAGTTTCTCTCTGCTGGGAACAGCATAAGGAAGTCTTATCCAGTCTTTGCCAAATGGGAGGTGGGGTGGAGAAATTGGAAATACCATGGAAATACATAGATGTTGTTAGTGATTTTATGAAATTCACCGACAGGTTTGCAAATTGGTTTTGTGAATCCATTAATTTTATCCATCTGTTCTTTGCCTGGGATCAGATGGTAAAACTAACTCCTACACAATACGAATTTCAAATAAACTGAAAACTCCCAAAGCAAAATGATTTTTTTTCATGCAATTTGTGTTAAGTTCTGCACTTTCTTTTTAACTAGAAATGTGTGTAGTCGAGTGGGCAGCTGGGACATGAGGACAGAAATTGAATACAAATCTTTTTAATCTTTCCCCAAATGAACATTTGTGTACATAGTGCAAGCAGAGGTCCCCATGCATGTGTCACACACTCACATCATGAGCTCATTATCCAGGTACAGGCATATTCTCACACCACCTTTCTTCCTCTAACCCATGTTATCCCTGATCAATTTATCCAGCAGTTCCTGGATTGAGGCAGCGATTATTCTCTGAGTTGCTGTGCCTTTCTGTGACTAACACTTGTACATACTCTGTGCCACATTAAACTCCATCTAGCTGTGTAGATCCACCTTTTGCATGCATATCAAACCAAACTGATATCTGGACCACCCAGGGAGTTGTCATTTTCTGATTTATCAGTCTCTTCTTTTTCCATTTCAAAGTTTCACTCATGTTCAGGAAAAAAAAAATGATTCAGATGCTCATCTGCCAGGTGTCTATTTTGCTTCACTTCTGTGATTTGTAGGATATCAAAGTTCAAGGGGACCTTAGATCATAAAATAGAGAATATCAGTGCTGTATGGAATCTTAGAACAAAAACCACAGAATGTTAGAGCAGAATGACATAGAACATGGAATGTTGGGATTATAAGGGGTGTTAGACAAGAGAGCATGTAATGTCAGAGTTGGAGGGGAAGTGAGTTGATAGAACACAGAATACTAGAATTAGAAGGGACCTTAGACCATTTAACATGGAATGTTGGAGCAAGAATGGACATTAGAGATTATTTAATCCCACCTGTTCATAACAATGGTCGAAGTAGCTCACGTTCATATCCTACGCTAAGATTTACTGAGCACTTTCCTTGCCCTGTGGATAGACTGAGGTTCAGAAAGGATGATGTTTCCTTGAGCTCAAATAGCTAGTTGTTGGCAGAGTGGGAATAGAATCCAAGGCTTTTTTATCCAGATTTGACATTCTTTTGAATACAACATTTCTGACACAGCAGAAAACTTTTATGAAAATGTCTCTCACAGGTTCTAATACTCCAATAACTTTCTTTAGAAAGTGATCAAAGCTCCTGATTTCCATGCTGTACATGGATAAAAATGTGTGTGATATATTTTCCTTTTGTTCCTTACTGAAACTATTTCTGAAGAAAGAAGCCTTTCAAATAATGCCTTCTACCTAAATTATATAGTTTTCTTTTTAAAAAAAAAGAAAGAAAATATAAATCACATTGGTATAGAGTTTTTCGTTCCACCAAGGGAAGACAGGTCAGAATTGAAATCTTAGATGATATAGAACTGAATGCTTGATTGCATTATTGTAAGCATCATGTCTTTCAAATGTGGATAAGCAGAATTTCCTTTTAATAATATTCATGAAGTAACAAAAATTTCTCATATGATTATTTTATGTTCTATCTTAAACTTAGAGGGAGAATATTATATTCTCAATGTCTTAGGAATCACTAAAATTTCCCTTAATTTTCATTTACTGCCTTGCCATTTTTCACACAAAGGCAAATATCTCTCAGAGCTCTCAATGGCTTATCAAATTGAGAGTTAATTTCTTTAGTGTCTTTTCCTTGAGTGTTTGTTTATTTAGGACAGCTTGCTGGAGTAGACAGCACATGGGACAGCAATTTAGAACACCTGTGTGTTAGTCTCCTCTCTGTTACTAACTCACTCTGAGACCATTGGTAGTTACTTTACCTCCTTGAGCTTCAATTTTTTCTCTGTAAGGTTAGGAGGTTAGGGCTCTTGAATGCTATATTTATTATCAAATAAGACAGTATTTTTAAAATGCTTAGCTCATTGCCTGAAATATAGTAGGCACATAATAAATGCATATTCCCTTCTTCTCATCCTTTCCAAGGAGGTACCTAGGTGCAGGGGAATAAGTGCTAAATTTGGAGTCAAAAGATTGGGTTCAAATTTTAGCTTTACAATTTCCTACCTGTGTAGCCTTAGTTAATGCACTCTACATGTCTGGTTCTCAGTTTCTTCCCCTGGAAAATAAGATCACTTGACTCAATGGCCTTTGAGGGCCCTTTGCAGCCCTAAATCTAATCCTGTAATTCTTCAGCCCACAGTCCTGACAACATAGACTCTTAGACATGTAGATCTACCACCTAGTATGTTTCTTCTCCTGCACATACAACACATGTCCATCAAGCTTCTGTTTGAACATTCCACTGACAGGGAGCTCACTACCTCCAGAGGCAACCCACACATTTCTGGTCACCTTCATTCTTTACAATTTCTTTCACATAGTGAATTTCCCTTTGTTGCACTGACGTGGTTTACCTCTTCCCTCACCTTCCTCTCCCCCGCTCAGAATCAGGAGGGCCTCAGCAAGGAGGAGATATGAGAAAGTCAAAAGGGGGCTCAGTTGTAAAATTCCTGATTAGCATCACTTGAAGGAACCAGAAAGGCTCCTAGAGGTCCACAGCAGCTCAATGGTACATGACCTACAACTTAACCCCACAGAAGACTTCTCTGGAACACAGGAAAAGCCCGCAGAGATTTCAAGGCATAAACACATGGGCAGTTTTCTTCTTCCTCCTCCAATTTCAGTTCAAAACCATATTGATCAGAACTGAAGGCAAATGCATTTTACTAGCTCTGATTAGGTCCACACTTTCCAAATACGCTTTCCTCTTCCAAATCCCCTACTCTGAATCAATAGCAGTAATCAAAACACTACCATTGTCCATAAGGTCTTCATTTTGTGCTCAGGCATTCTTATACTAGTAGTGATTTTAAGGGGCTTATGGAGGTATCCTTTCTGACTGAATTAATCCAGCAATGGGGAATGATTGTCCGAGTCAACATGTTTCCCTGTCATGTCCTCATTTCTGGGGTAATCAACAAGATGGAGTTCAGATTATTGCCCACGATTGTTGTTTGTTCTTTGTTCTTAAAGAGGACCAATGACATCAGGAGGGTGAAGTCTTAAGTTGGAAGTGAATTGAATTTAAAGTGAGGCAGAACTGTGCAAAGTCATCAGCCTCCCTTTCTCCTCCAGGGTCTTCTGAGTCCAGTGACAAGACATAGATCAGAATGACTAGAGATGACCCTGGATGCAATGGGAGACCTTGGCCCTTTTAAGCTAAGGTCTTTCCCAGGTCTCTGTCTGAGGCAACACCCATTTAGTGATTTAAGGCTTGGTAAGAAAGGAGGCAAAAGATGGCCTAGTTTTCCTACTCAAAAAAAAAAAATTGAACCGGGAGGTAAAGACCTTCAGGGTCTCTGGCCAGATAGTTCTTTTACTTCCAAGCATAGTCTTCTTTCAGTTATACTCTGATTCCTTCCCCTAAGACCCTTTAGTAAAGTCTGCCCTAGTTGGGAAGGGGTTTAGTAATAGTTTCAAGGAATTTAGAGAGTAAATTGGATTAAGTAATTTGCTAAATGATGACTAGGGTGTCCTTGGGGAGTGGATTAGTCTTCTGGAGGTAGGTAGCCTATTTAGAGAGAAAGTATACATTTAGAAATTACCTCTGCATGTAAGTGTGGGGGGGGAGAGTAGAGTGAAAAGATTATGCTATTTGATAATGAATTATTTGTGGACTTGGGTTGGGGCAAAGGTTCCCAGCTAGGACATGGACTGGCTATGAGCAAATGATTGTGCACAACTGATTTAACCTTATATTCCCCATTAGTAAAATGGAGATAGTAATACATCACCTACATCAGGGTCGTATGCCTTGCAAAGTGTATACAGGGTGTCTCAAAAATTCTAATGCTATTTTAAGCTTTGTTGTTCAGTCATTTCAGACTCCATTTGGGGTTTTCTTGGCAGAGACACTGGAGTGGTTTGCCATTTCCTTCTCCAGCTCCTTTTACAGATGAGGAAACTGAGGCAAACAGGGTTAAGTGACTTGCCTAGAGTTCCACAGTTAGTAAGTGTCTGAGACCAGATTTGAACTCAAGAAGATGAGTCTTCCTGACTCCAGGACCAGCAGTACTCTGTGCACCATGGCGCCACCTAGCTTTCCTGTGGTCTTAAGCTACTGACTGAAGCTTTAAATAGCACTAAGCATTTTCCAGACCTTTTTAAAATATGAACATTATTATTCCTATTAATAAAAAAATTCTGTTCCTAAAAAACCTCTTCTATACTGAGAACTTTTGAAATCCTTTCATTTGGGATTGAAGTTGTTATCCAAAGCTTCCATGGGGTCTTATTCATTTGTAGTTGGAAGAAACCTCAGAAGTCACTAGTCTAAGCCATAGCTAAAGTAAGAATACCCTCTCTGACATCTGCAACTAGCCTGTCTGAGGCTGTAGGATCTTGGGTAAGACATTCTTCTTCTCCATGTCACAATCTCATCATCTGTAAAACAAAGGGATTGGACTGGTAGAAGTCCAATGGTGTAAGATATAAAAAAAAAAAAGTTCTAAGCTCCTGGCCATACAAAAATAGGCAGCAGGCTGGATTGAACTCATGGGCCATCATTTGCCAACCCTTAGATTAGATGATCTATTTCCCAAAGCCCCTTCCAGCTCCATGATAATCTGTGATGATTTGATGTTTGATTTAAAAGTTAATAATTGTTTTCATTATTGTATTATTATAAATTAAATAGTGTTTGATATTTGAAAACAGAAAGTAATTAGATTCCTAGGCCATGTTCAAACCCAGCCTCAGATACTAACTATGTGATTCTGAACAAGTCACTTAACCTCTGTCTGCTTCAGTTTCCTCAGCTGTAAAATGGGAATAATAGTGCCAGTCTCCAGGGGTGTTGAGGATGAAATGAAATAATAATTATAAAGTGTTTAGCATAGTGCCTGGAACATAGTAGGCTCTTAATAGGTTCTTATCCTCTCCCCTCCCTTGTTATTATTGTTATTTATTCATACTGTTTAATTCTATCATCTCCATAGCTCCGAGATATTGAGAACATTGCTCCACAAGAAGAATCCCAGGCCAGCAGTAAGCTTCTGCACCACCAGGTATTAACCCTGAGGTCCCAGCTCAGAGATCAGGCTGCCTTATACAGTGAACTGCAGGCATCTCAAAGTGAAACTCGGTACCTTCAGGGCCAGCTGAGAGAAAAGGTACTGTTGTTTCTGGCCCTGTCTTAAAGATTGTTAGTCCTCCTGGAGAAATTTTGGCCAGAGAATATCATAGATTTTCAGCTTGAAGAGACCTTAGGACATAGAGAACATTAGGCTTAGAGTACATATTTTAGAAATCACTTAGTCCAAAACTCTCATTTCATAGATTAGAAAACTGAGACCCAGAGAGGGAGGTGATTTGCCGTTTGAATTCCATCCCCAGGTGCTTGGGGAGCAAATGCCCCTGTTCTGGGGGCCAGGTATTTTCCATTTATAGTATGTACATGAAGAAGCCATGTGGAGCTGAGCACCATGCACTACTCCCTTGGAAGTAGAACCATTACTAGCATGGGGAGAACAAGGCTTTGTCTTGGGTGCCAACACTTCCTCCCTATGGTAATCAACATCCAGGCACCATCCCATGCAGCCCTCTACCAGCCCCTGCCATCCTAGGCTGTTGCCAGCACCCCCACAATCCCACTGCCCTGATACCTTTATCCCAGGGCTACCTCCCCCCAAATTCTCACAGGGGCTAGGTTTGGGATCACCTTCCTTCCAGTCCAATTTTACCCTGGTCAGCTATTCCCCTACCCCCAACTATTTTTGCTCCAGATGAAAAAAAAATCCTCATTCCACTTGGACCCAATTGGCCCACAGGTTACCATTATGGTTCTCTGTAGGGCAAGGTTGCTTTGAGAATAATCAAGATAATCCATGCCTTGGCTCCATTTCAGATTGAAGAGCTCAGAAGGAGGAAAAATGAAGTGAACTTGGCTGTGACACCTCTCAAGGTAATCAACCTGTGATTGATCTGGTCTTGACTAACTGTACTTATAATTGGATTACCATTGGACACTTTGAATGACTATTGGTCTCCTACTCTTTCTCTTGGCTGACACATACATAGCACACTCTTCTCATGCAGAGGAAGGAGAATTATAATCAGTGGAATCCAAGGACTCCAGTCTTCATCTGAAGTCATTAGATATGGTGGAATCGTTTACTTTTCATCACTCCACTGCTTCCCTTGACTGATCTCTGATATAAAGGGGCAGTGGAATGGGGTAGATATCATCTATGAGACATATGCAATCTTGTTCTTGAGGGCATGTTCATCACTGATGCATATTACAGCCCCTGTAAGGCTTGGTGAATTGTCTTCCCAAGTAGCTATGGCTGAAAAAAAAAGATCATCTCCTTCTAGCCATCTTTATGCATGCCCAGCATCCTTGCACTTGGCCCGGCTGGCCCATAAATACCAGGCACACGGTTTATTACTAGGCCCACGTTTGAAGCCTTGCCAATTTCCTAAGAGCTGCCAGAGTTTGGGATGCATTGGCATAGCCTTCGAGAGCTCTCAAAGAGTCACCTTCATGCTTGAGGGCAGGCATTGTGGTGTTTTTGTCATTCTGTCACCAGTGCCTGTCACAGGGCCTGCAACATAGCAGGTGCTTAATAAATGCTTATTGACTGGTTAATTAAATAATTGGTGATGAGACATCAAAGGAGAATGTTATATGGCTAGATGTAAGGGGAAGCAGTGTGGTCAATGGAAAGGATTTAGGATCAGAGGACTGATGTTCAAATCCTACCTCTGACACTTATTATCTACATCATCTTGATAAGTCACTTAGAATTCTGTGAAATTTGGTTTCTTCATCGAAAAAATGAGAAGGTTGGACTAGATAGCTTTTACGATCACCACCAGCTCTCAGCCTCTGACATTATAACTTAGTTTCAAATTCTGGCTCCATCACTTACTATCTATTTAACCTTGGTTGAGCCACAAAACATTTCTGAGGGCTTGGTTTCTTCATTTGTTGATGAGGAATTAATCTCCAAAGCCTAAGTTTGAGAATATTTTAATCTCATTACTAAAACTAGGAGCTGACATTTTTATGACAATTTATGATTTGCAAAGATTTTTTATATACTTCTTGTTTGCTCCTTGTAACAATGCAGTGAGGTAGGTAATATGAATATAACCTTATTGTTGTTCAGTAATTTCAGTCGTGTCTGACTTTTTATGACCCCAGCTGAGATTTTCTTGGCAAAGATACTGGAGTGGTTTGCCAGTTACTTCTCCAGCTCACTTTACAGATGAGGAAACTGAGGCAAACAGTTACGTAACTTGCTAAGGGTCACACAGCTAGTATGTGTCTGAGGCTGGATTTGAACTCAGGTTTTCCTGACTCCAAGCCTGGCTCTCTATCCACTGTGCCACCTAGCTGTCCTAACGGTTACTTACTTGTAGATAATTAGTAGGTCCTCCTTTTGTAGTTTAGGAAACTGCACTTCAGGGCAGAAGGTTAAATGACTGACTAACAGTTGGCAAACTGTAGTGATATGCTACAAATCTTCATGACTCCAAATCCAGTATTCTTTTCATTCTACCATGCTGATATCAGGAGATTTGGTTTCTAGTCTTTCCTTTTCCAGGTACTGTCCATGTGCCATCAAGGAAATCACTTGACTTCTCTGAGTCTCAATTTTCTCATCTGTAAAAAGAGAATAATAATCCCTTACCACATGGTTGTTTTTAAGAATCAAGTGATATAATATATTTAAAGTGGTTTGTAAGTGAGCTATCATTTGAGGGGCAGTAAAATGGTTCTCTAATATGGTAGGATTTTAGAAAGTGGTAAAGAAATTCCTTGAACAATATTATCTTCCTATTTCTGCTTCCTAATATTCCCCATATATATGTATATATATGTATATATATGTATGCATATATTCACAGAATACAGTGTTAGAAGAAATCTTTGACACTATTTCATCTGGTCTTCTTTTATATAAAGAAGAAATTTGGGTTTCAGAGAGGCCAAATCTCTTGACCAAGGTCAAACAGCTAATTAATGGTAGAGGAATGTTGGAACTCTTGTCACTTTATTCTAATCTAGTGGACTTTTCTCTTCTGCCTCCTCTGTAATGACATTCTGCCTCACTAATTCTGTAAAAGTTAAGTCCTCATTACCAGGGCAGTGTATACCTATTTGGTAGCTGAATACTTTTTTCCAGAAATTTACTTCTCTGTATATATCACCCTGTTGTCACAAATGGAGAGCAAAGCCCCAATAGGAAACAATCTAGAAGGGGTGAATTATGATGAAGAAGGGAAACAAAGGCAGGTCAAGGCACCAGATGCTGCCTTGCCCAATATATGGCTCCACAGTGAAGGTTCTGGAGTCAATAGATGCCTGGGGAGAGAGGCAGTGGAGGCAATGTCAGTCAGCCTTTACCTACTTGATTCTTTGGCAGAAGAGGAGTCTCTTTCTTAAGGTTCATCTTATCACTTCCTAGTGATTAGATTTGTCCAAAAGTAGAAACAGCTGCCTAAAGAGGTGGTAAGGTCCATGACTGGAGGTCTTTAAACAGAGGCTGAACAATCCTATGCCAGTCAAGGGGACTTATGTCTCAGGGAATATTACATAGCCTCCAAGGCCTCTTTCTAGCAATATGATTCTAAGAGATGTTGGCTGCTTTATGTTATTAGTCACACACACTCCATAACTATTTCTGCTAACTCTTAGATTGCCATTAGAGGGAGCCCATACATAGTCATTCGGGCTTGTACCTGGGCTTCTAATCTCCAGTTCCGTAATTATGGTACAATCAGTCAATAAGCAATTTATTAAGTATTAATAGATACCAGGCACTCTGCTAACTGTTGGGGATACACAAAAAAGCAAAAACAGTTCTTCCTTCAAGGATCCCATAATCTAATAACATGTAAATAATTAATAAACAAATAACATGTAAATAACAAGACATATACAGCATAAATAGAAGATGGTCTCAGAGAAAGGCATTATGTGAGGGAGAGAGAGAGATAAGTACCCAGAAAGGCCTCTTGCAGAAGGTGGGATTTGAGCTGAATTTTGGAGAAGGTCATGAAAGACAGGAAATAGAGATGAGGGTGAGGAGGGAAAGCAGTCATCTCCATTTTCTAAATCTGTGCCTTTTCACTCTCTGTCTTCCATGTCTGGATTTTCTCCTCCCTCATCTCTATTTCCTTGTTCTAATACAGATCATTTCTTCTAAACTCAACTGGGCCTGGAATGGTATCAGTGTGGATGAGCTCTCCAAAGATGCAGATCACAACCCAGCATTCCTATCCTTACTAACCAATGCTTGTCCATGCCTTCCCATTGGTTTGCCTCAGAAGGTTTATCTGCTCAACATACTTGGGAGCCTTCCTCACTTTCTGTTGCTATCACAAGTTTATCGGTGGAACACATGGGCTATTTTTTTTTTTTTGCTTTGCTCTTTTGTATTTCTAGTTCTATTTTCTTTTTTTAATTGTGCAATTCTTTGGTGTCATCCTTCAGATAATCTTCATGGTTCCTTATTTATCATATGTTACAACCTGATTACATTCAGCATGTGTCTTTCTCTTTTGCTTTCTCTATTATACTCATTTTAAAAGCTTTAGACACTCTAGTGTGCCATGACTCACAGACATATAGCAACATATGGTAAAAGACAGAATCTGTCTTCCAAGGACCAGTCCAGCTAAGTGCAGAGAAGCTTTTTATCATCAGGCTGGCCTCCTGGTGATGAATCCTTTGGCCATGACAACCCATGAAACAAAGAAAAATATGACATAGCCCTCAGTCCTAAGGGACCTATTACCATTCTGCAGTGATGGTGGTGAAATAGTAGAAAGGGAGATAGAGGGTGTGGAGAATACACACCATTACTTGAAAATAATCTCACAATTCCATAGCATTTAAAAAGTTGCAAAGTTCCTTCTTCATAACTAACCTATAAAGAAGGGAGTACAAATACAGTTATACTCATTTTTACAGATGAGGAAACAGGTTGTGATTTTCCCATGATCACGTGGGGTTAAATGATTGAGTCATGATTAAAACTCAGGTCTCATGATTCCACGTCCAACATTCTATCCAGTAAATCAGGTACATTATGATGTGATGTATAAAACCTTGGTGTGAAGATGAATTAGACTTTTTCTCAGATATAGCAATGAATTCTCCTGCCCCTAGCATCATAGACATTTGAGCTTTGATGCGAGCTTTGAGTAGCCACAAAGGATCCTTTTTTCGTTTTTGTCCCTATAGGCAAAAGTGGCTTCCTTGGTTCAGAAATGCCGGGAGAGAAACAACTTGGTCACTCAGCTGGTGCAGGAACTGCACAGACATGGAATTGAGAACCTGCAGCTCTCACAGGCAGCAAGGACCTTGGTGGATGATGTTGCTGTGGCCGCCTATGCATCTACCTTCATGTCTTCTGACCCCAGAGAGGTAAATGCCATCAACTCCATTTGTCTCACTGACATTTCCAGCCATACCTTCTACTGCATCCCTCTGTACACTTTTTCCTTCATCCAAACTGAAAGATTCTTGCCAGCCCAAGTGCATTTGTCCAAACCTCATATTTATTTCTAATATTAATTTCTGAAAACATTTAACAGCTTTCTCTATGCCCTGTTCTCTTTGCCTTGTTCCTCAGCTGATGCCCCTTCATACTGGTTCATATGTGAACGGATGTTTTTACATTTTCCCCCTTCAACTAGAATCAGCCTTTTACTAGCTGTATGATCTGGTACATCTCCAGGGGCTTCTCCATTGTCTACTAAAGGAAATGTATGCTCTTCATCCTTTCATTTGAAGCCCTCCACAGTCTGGCTCTAATCTACCTTTGCAGCCATGTCTCATGCTATTTCCTGTATTCATTTCACCTTCTGAGCTAACTGTACCACTCCCCACAGCCCATCTCTCTGCCCTCCCTTCCACCCCCATCCTTACTTTCCATATCTGAATTTTGCTTCTACTATCCCCAATAACTTAGAGTGGACTCCCTTCCTCCTCTTCAATTTCTGCCCAATAAAATTCCATCTCCATTTTCTTATTCTTCCCCATTCTCCACCTATTCAATTCTCCCTTTCCTTCTAGGCTCAATTCAAATATAACTTCTTCTATTAATACTTCCCTGATTTCACCTCCCCCACCTCAAACTGAAATCAACCTTTGGCATCTTGGATCTTTCTTTTGCACTAAACACAATCTCCACGGTCTCTAATTAGATTGTAAGCTCTTTGAGAGCAGGCTTTGTATCATATCTGTTTCATTCCATTGTAACATATATCATTTCCTTAGCACTCAGCACATGTCCTTGAACACTTATGGGTACTTAAAAATTGTTTGCTGAGTTGAATTATTTTGAATGTGAGCTTTCAACTTGCCCTGTTTTCATATCCTTTCAACAGAATGGGCATTTACTGTAGGCTCAACACTGTGCTAGGCTTAGAAGGAGGAAGCACACATTCCCAGTAGCTGGAACCACAATGCATATGAGCAACCTAGAGCTTTGCTTTGATTACTCCAGTGAGTTATTTGAGCTGTCTAGATCCTAAGGAAAGGGGGCTGACTCTAGCAGCCCCAATCTGATTGCTTTCCTGTGAAGTTTGAGTCATGAGGTGACTGAGTCTGGAGAACTTTATTGGCCCCTGAGAGGTAAGATGACACACAGCAGAGAGGGGTGGAGAGTTACCTTGACTATTTTTCATTTGCCATGAGTCTTTGGGGTACATTTTATCTATCTATCTATCTATCTATCTATCTATCTATCTATCTATCTATCTAT